GGAGCACGGTCAAAGTATAATTTGGTCGAAACGAGCAAGGTCGAGTACATTTTTGATTGGCTTAGCACGAATGAAACGTACTCGAATTTTGGTCGAGACAGTCGAAACATGCATGAAGTGAACACTTTGACCTTAGTTGGAAGTGTTTTGGGGGATTATTTTTCTATTCCACATTTTAATTGCATCAAAAACCTGAGCTTGGGGGTTAACATTTACAACATTTTCAAATCTTGATTCTGCAACGTTCTGAATTAATTTTATTTTGGTTACTTTCATAACAAAATTTTGAATCTAATAAGTAACGATAGTTAAGAATAACGAAATTGCTTGGGGCACAAATTTAATTACGAAAAAACTACAAAAACTTACTCTTCAGTTCCTCGCGAACCCAAGATTTAAGATGACTGAAGGCTTCAAAGATAACTATTTAACGCAGGGACTGACTTAGAGGTGGGGGCGAGGGTGCGGTTGCCCCCCTTCAAGGACACCAAAAAGTTTTTCTAAAGGCGCCTTTGCTGCCAATATATAGTAATTTTTAAGGGGGAGTGCGCGGCAAAAAACGCAAATTTCTGGGTCAAAATTTTTCAAAAGTTTGGCCAAAACAGGGTTTTTCACTGCTTTGGGAGAGCTCGGAAAAACAATTTGATCGGCCTAAAAAATGTCGACAAACAGGTCCCCCTCCTCGAGAAAATCCTAGATCCGCCCCTGAGCTAACGATAACATATTTCACCCTTAGAAGATGGTTAATATTCCGAATTGCCAGCTATACTCGAAGACGCAATTAATCAGTATCTGTTGATAGGTACAACAAGGGATTTTCCCAGATCAAATTTTCTCAAAATGGATAACGACGCAATTAATTAAACTAGAACAAGATTTCAAGTATTTAAGTAGTGAAGATAGAGTACTCAATCCAAGGAAAGCTCTCAAAAACTGACAAGTTTTCAAAGGGTAGTCTACTCGAGCATGTCATGTCAGTGATCGGTATGGTATCATCAAGAGTTTCAGGCAAGAATCGAAAAAATTATTGCACAGAGAGCAAGACTGCTCTGCTCGTAAACCAGGGCAAAGATCTGAAATTTCAGCTGCCTTTTTCGAATTAAAATTTTAATTTTGATTTATAAAAAACTGTTTAAATAATCGGTAACAAAAAGAAGAAAACATTGAGTTGTTCATTTTTTCTTCGTTTCAACCCACACGCCACACACGCTACATAAACTGTCAAAAGGTATATTTAGCGTCTCGTATTTAAAAAAAGATGGCCAAAAAACATGCCTCATTTGGTTTGGAACTATGTAATACGCTGCTTACGCGTGTTAAAGGAAAGCAAAAAATCGCTCGTCAATTATCCCAAAATAGAAATTTTCAAACCCGCATAATTTCACAAAAAACGATCCCAGGTAATATTTTGACACTTGAGCTCCGACAAAACTAGTTTTCAGATGAATAAAAAATTCCATCAAAAAATCAAAATCAAAAATTTCATTACGAGGCCAAACTGTGCATTCTGTGCGTTGTCAGCGGATTCCGCAACAGGCCAAAATCAGATTTGTGGTGGAAATACTAATTCCAAATAATACTCAAAAATTGACTACAAGCAGTACAGCACCACCATAAGTATATAACCATTCTGCATTTTCTTCAAAAATTGAAATAAGATCAACTAGGATCGTGGATTGGATTAATGATGAACGAGGTCAGTTGCATGCATATCAGAGTTCGACTTAAAACCCATGGACGAGCAGGTCCTTAAGGCAGAAATTAAGTTGAAAAAAAAGGCAAACACCACGCCAAAACATGAAGTCACACGCAGCGAGGAAACATTATTCCCGTAGGCCGAAACTCAAAGATGAAAAAAAGTTCCAAAAAAAGACTTAAGAAACCGAGCGGGATTTCAAAAAATTTCGAAATGTTTTTCGACCTGTTTTAACAGATTTTTCAGGTCTCTAAAATCACTATAAAAACCTTATTTTAAACAAAATCATCTACGCCGAAGTCTAATTGATGAAAAATAGAACAGCGTTGCTATTTCTGAGCATTTCTACTTCAAGGTTGCTATATCAAGTTGCTATTTCAACAGCAACGACAGCAAGATACATGATTGGAACTCTAAATCAGATGAGAAGTGAATCAAGTGAAAATCGTTAACAATTAAAAATGGTTAATCATGAATAATAAACAGTCATTAACAACGAGCATTTGACATTACAAATCTCGGTTATGTAAAAGTTTACAAACAAGTTTTATATGATATGGTTTTATGAGAAAAAAATATATAAAGTTCTACTGAGAATTTGAGGTTTCTGTGACTTTTACATAAAGCATTAGACATCAAAATATTGCTCACAGCCCAATGGTTTTTTTCTAATTGTAGAACTTTAAAATAACGAACGAGAAACCTTAAAAAACAACGGATTTTGAAACAACTTTTTATTCATTTTCAATATATTGCGCATCTGAGTCAAAATTCAAAAACTCTATATTTTACTTGCAGCAATTTATGAACTATAATTTACACGCGCTAAAATTTGATTTTAGTACAATCTATACCTTGGTTCAAAAAAAATGGCCGCGGCAATATTTTTGAAAAATGCGTATAGCTCGAAAGCGGCAAATTTTGGCAAAATGTGGCAAAAATAAAAAAGAAAGAAGTTGAACAGACTTTGTCGCCGTGTGAATCAATTGACAGGTACTTAGCTAATGAAAATGCTACACATCATTCTTCAACACAAAATTTTGAAATGCAAGCGAAACGCGATTTACTTGAATTTCTCTATGTCAACGACTCCAAACAACGTGAATATCTGTCGAAACGGGTGAAAATGCCACCGCGTAGTTTCCGACGTAACATGAAAATCTTGGAAGAAAAGGGAACCTTGGAAAGAAAGAAAGGAAGCGGCCGACCTCTCCAAATTTCTGGCAATGAGAAAAAACGCTTATGTCAAATTGTAATTTTGCCAGCGGTAAGAAAAAATTTGATGGGTTCTATCCCGACGCGTTTGGGCCAGTGTCTTGAAAACGAAGGAAAATTTGTGGAGAAATGGACTGGGACTGAATAGGCAAGACAAAGACGCAACAGACTCATATTTTCTTATATTATTTTGTTTGCTCAATGCTTAGAAAAATCTATTATTTCAGCGGCCACTTTTTTTGAACCAAGGTATATATGTTATAATTGAGCTTTCTGTGACTCGATGAGGATCTATTAAAGACTATCAGTCCTGTCTTAAGGATAGTCCGTTTTTTGTCTCCCCACTTTCCAAGCTGAAAGAGTTATTTTTGTCCCGCTCTTTTTTGCGACAAGGACTTTTTTTGCGTCCAGAATTTTCGCTTGGTACGGCGGTTGTAGCCAAAATTAGTCATGCTATGGTACGTCTCTTTTAAGAAAGTAAACATAAATTTACTTGTTACGTTTTAAATCAAATCATAGTATACTCAAAATGGAGATAGATATAAACCAACCGATAAAAGCAGAGTAAATAAGCCAGCCAAAAAGTTACATCATATTAAATAAATTTGCATAATTTTTGTAATTGTTAAATAATTGTTGCAAAACTATTATACAACACTTACGTATTGTCGGCTGGTTGATACTTCGACTGCTTTACACTTTGGCTGCTTTGTATACCACCACTCGAAGTACAGTGTGATACGGACAACCTTGTAGTTTATGTGCAACCATCTACGACGCGCCTAAAGCTCCTTTTTTTGCTTAGTTTGATTAATTATAATCGGGTAGCACCCCGCGAGTGCTACATGCTTAATGAATAGAATGAAAAAACTTACATTAATTGAGGTTGGATTACTTGAACTTCAAGCATTCCGATATGTTCAAATAAACTCGAAAGTTCAGTATTTCACACAAAATACAATATATGTAAGCAAAATTGAAAATTCTGATTAATTAGATTCAAATTTTTTGGTAAAAAAGACTATGGCTTGAAAAACGCGGCGTATTTTCTCTCTTTTTTTCTCTCCTCCCAGCTTTCATATACAGTTTTTAAAAACTATTTTAACATAGTCACATTGCTACGAGACTTGGCTTGGTGACCAAATTAACAAGTTTGAACAGATTCGATCCCCATCCATTCCATCGTATGTAACACAACTATAAAAACACAGAGATTTTGAAAGATGGAGGATTGCAAAAGAGCCGCAAACTCTTACCACACAAACAAAGAAGAACTTGTTTGAGCTCCGGAAATTTTTTGGCAAACTTTTTGGCTTTTTTCTAGCGTCACCCCTTTTTTGTATTTTCAACATTTCTATAGTTGTCTGACGTGTTTTTATAGCTAAATGCAAAATTTTACGATGAAAGGTACGTAGAAAAAATGTGAGAACAACAGTAATTTTTGTTCATCATGCAAACTTTCATTTTATTATTACAACATAAAAAAAGTTTTTCAAAATTGAAATTCAAGTGTTGTGGGTGAAGGGGTAAGCAGCCAAAAAGTTATCAAAATAATAATCCTTTGAATAAAAAATTACCAATTCAAATTAATTTTTTTAAGACAAAATGAGTTGAACAATGACTACAATATAGACATCGAACTAACTAGCAACTTTTTAAATAACATAATATAAACTAAAACACATTATTTCTTTTAGCAAACAAAAAATTAAATGATTTCTGTAAATTTTATGTCTTTAGGAAAAAACTCCTCGCTTTTTTCCTCCCCTCACCATTTTTTAATGAAACTTGGTATGATGAATAAATTCACAATTTTAAGCAGGTTTTTTCCTCGTCCACTGCATTGTAGCATCACGCAATTAGCCATACTAAAATGTAGAAAAAACCGTAAAACTAAAAATTTTGAAAGATGGGGAGTGGAAAAGAGCAAAAAATTCTTATGACTCTTAATCACTAATTAGTTAAAGTGGTATGATAAGCATTTTTTAGCTCTGGAATCTTTTCGTAATTATTTTGTCTCTTTTCCACTCGCCCTCACACATTAATTTTCAACTTTTTAGTTTTCTTACATGTTATAATGTCTGAATGCGTGATTTTACGATAAAAGGTATGAAGAAAAACTGTGTGCACAATAACTAGTTTCTTCGCCATGCAAATTTTCATTACATTATTACAACGTAGTGCTAGCTTTTCAAACCTGAAATTCAAATGTAGGAGGTAAAAAGGTAAAGAGCCGATAAAATAATCGAATTTTAGTCCTTTCAAAAAAAAAGCGTTTAAGTGACTTTTACAAAATAATTGGTTGAACAATGACTAAAAAATGGACATCTAACTAACTAGCTCCGCGGACACTGACTCTGATGTGGAATGTGACAAACAAAGTTTATGAATAAATTTTGATTAACGTTTCTTGTTTAGTTTTTGGGCGGCTTGATTTCTTCGTCATATTTCAGATGCCAGTGGAACACTTTGTCCGTTTTTGCTGGCTCTACTCACACTGTGTCCGGCGTTGCCAGTCTAAAGAAACAGACATTGTAAATGAAAATAAAACAAAGGCCAGTTTCAAACACCATCCAGTTTCAAACACCAGTTTCATACAACATCCCCTGTGAATTTCTCGGATTCGAAAAGTATTTTAAATTGATTTACAATATCACTTTTTGGTGTCAAACATGCATTTTGGAACCTGATCTAAACTATATTTTATGATTGGATAAATTAAATGTTTTACCAATGTAAAGTATTTAATATTAACCAATCATGATCCATCTAACTAACAACCCACTTATTTGTAAGTGCTGAAGTTACTTGTAATTTCAGCACCAGAGAGATTTGAATTTAACTTAGAAATTAGTTGGACTCTCCCGAGCACTTCAGCAGCCGCAATAAACCAGTATACCCTAGATCTATTGAGCCTAGCAGAGACTAGTTAAACAACCTGAGACTAGATAGTATAAGAGTAAGATTAGGATCGGTATTAGACTAAGAAGTTGCACGAATCTATCCGGCCGAAAATAAGATAGCGTGACGAGCAGACGGTGTACCCTATCCGAAATTACTCTATGAGTTACACTCCGGTTCTAACTCATCTGGTGCGACCATAAGTCTCGAACAAGACCTTACTAGATTAGAATTAACCAAAAATAGATTAGAAATTAGACAAAAACATTTACAAAATGTTATACGACAATAATTTAATTGAAATGTCTCTCCGACTCAATAGATCAGAGCCAATATTCCGAACCATAACAGAACTACCCGGAATTGGAAGAAGACCTCGAACCAAAGACGACATACGACAAAGTAGAAACTTGCCGTATAGTTATATGATAGTTCGGCAAAAGCCAGAACAAACTTTTATATTTCGAATACTACTTGCAATGAATTTAGATTTCCATTTGCAAACATAAAACCTTGAAGTTACTCTTCAAAATCATTTCAGGCGCTAAACAAAATTAATATTATACAATAACGATTGATAAAAAGATCTAAGATCGTTTTCCTAAAACTCTGCAGTATTATAAAAAACATGTTTGAAAAATATTTATTGGAAAATAAAAATAAAAATTAGTAGCATGACAATAAATGGTTAGTAATCATAAATCATCCTGTTGTTCCAGCTTCATCACCTAAAACATAACAGCAATCATCAACTCACTAACATCATAAAACACTAAATCTTTCCTTTACACAAATTTAAAACTTTATTAAAACTTAAAGTCACTTAATTTAAAATCAGATCATCAAGGCTTATCCTTGGATCTTAAATCATTTTCTACTTAATTAAATTTCAAACTTGATCATCAAGGCTTATCCTTGGATCAAACAGAACAACTTTGTTCTCCCCCACCCACTTAATTAGTGTCTAACGACCTCAAACGTCGATTCACTACCCAACCCTTTCTAAAAGACCTAAGACTAATAGAAATTTTTAAACAAAACTAATCATTCAAATTAGGATAAACAGTGAAGAACTTCGGTTATTCATCCTTCACTTGACCCCCCCTCTTACCAGACCCAGGATAAATCTTAGACTTAGTAAGTTTAAAATAGTATCTAACGAACTACTCGCGTTCTAATTATACCTGAACCTTGTGGATCGATTTACTATTCTCCAACCCTTGAACACAATCACTACCCCTAAGTAAGATTAAGTAAGTTAACACCTTAGCTTATACTAGTCACGAGAAAGTAAAAATCATTCTTCGGAATCGATATACTTTTCTCTCCAATCCTGAACAAATAGACCCAGGTTAAGCTAACCAAAAAATCGTAAGAACTAACAGTTTAGGAAAATAGAAATCATTTAACAACCCTTTGCATCCGTCATTCTAAACCTTATGTCATTTAAAAACCTAGGAAATAAACAAACAATCGTTTTACACAATTGTGAAATAGATAACAAAAAATACGACCTTGTAATCACACCTCATACACAAACAGTTGGATACATTCGAACAAAACGACAAACACTAAAGAGGAAAATAATAACTAAACAAAGACAAATAACACGAAAAAGATTTTCAAAAAATCGAAACGCATTTTCAGAATCAGAAACCAACAGTTTAGACGAACTTTACAAACTAAAAGAATCAATAGATAAAAATTACCCACTTCACGATCAATTATATTTTTCTGACTCAGAAACAACTTCAAATTCATCACAAAGAGGAAAAAGAAGAATAAAAAAACAGTACAAATACAAACCAGTACATCTATACAATTGGAATCAACCAATTCGACACATTAATAATTATATATTAACAGTCATCGAACGAAAAAATGAGCTCAACGCACACTCCAGGTGAAGAAACTCCAGATGATGATGAAATCTTTCCTTTTATAGTAGATGCAGATACCGATAGAGGACAACACATATTTTGTCAAAATTTACTCGTAAATTTATTTGAACCCGGAATTAGTCCATGTAAAACAGAGTTCCCCGATGTAAAAATCAAAAGACAAATCATAGATCACTATCTAAAAGATATATGCAACATAACACAACAGTATGGAATCTACTCTATAGAATTCACTTCCCCAAACCATAATAATAGAACATATACTATTCAAACAGACGATCTTGATTTAGAATTTTCAAAAGTTTTTTCAGAATATATAAAAAGCATCCAATACCATAACTCACAAAGAGCAAACTCCATTTTCACCAATGAAGTTTTCGCAATAATATATAGTTATATTTCGATATTAGAAAATGAACTCCCATTAACAAATGTCTCACCGACAGAAACATCTAAACATTTAAGAGTACGACATGAAATCACACTACTCTCTAGTTATTTAAACATCATTAAAGAAAATTTCACGAAAGACGACGTTTCACAACATACCAAACACGATCTACAAAAAATCTTGGCATGGTTCATAATAGATTATTTCACACATAATATTGATTTAATTGCACAAGCAAGAAAAAATTTTAGACCCCAAAACTCGAACGATGATACCGCTATCACAGAACAATCAGATTATGTTTGGGACCCCGAATGGTCTCATCCCGCATTTATAAGCTTCCCACAATCAATCTCAAGTCAAGCAATAAGTACGATATCTTACATAAGAGACTATGTAAGAGTAATACCATTAACAATTGATGCAACACCATTAAACTATAATACATTTTTACCCGATACACAAAATAATAGTTTAAACTCTACAGTCATACACAACGAAAACCTCAATGGAACTAGGAATCTTACTCAACAAGATATACAGACACCATCACACTTCATAAATGAAGAAATTGTACACACAACAACTACACAACAAAGTATTTCACCAATACGCCCAAATTTAACAACACCAAGAAATACAAATCCTTCACAAACACAGGTAACCTTACAATCAACCGTTAAACCTTCGGTTGCCCCTAAATATTCACATATGGATTACCAAACATACAGACCCATGACAATACCATCAAAAACACGCAAAACATTCACTAGAAACAACTTTGCAGACCATAATTATAATTATACACATCCGTCAAAAACAAATTATCAACCACAAAGAAATTTTAACCAATATACAAGATCTCGAAATTGGGATAACCCAATGACCCAACCTAATTCAACAAATTTTCAACCAAATCCTCCACAGGATCGCAGTGAAAATTACCCATTTTTTCAACAAAATAAAAATAAAAAACAAACATCTTATCAAATGGATTATTTATCCTCAGATGATGATTTTTTACAACCAGATATATTTGCACAAAATACTCAAGAATATCATAGACAAGGAATACAGAAAACACGTACAAATCATAGGAATTTTTCTCCACAACCGATAGATGCACAATATCAACAACCTATTCAACAACAAATTCCAATTAATACACAATCTTTTCAACCAATTCAACAACAAAATCCAATGACTGCACACTCGTATCAACCATCACAAATGCAAAATGAAATACCACTCCCATATTATCTTCAACAACATGAAATAACAAGAAACCAACTTTCAAATTTTTCTCAAATGCCAAATGCAGCAGAATCATTACAAATGACAATGAATCCATACCTTATGGGTGGATCATCAATAACATCAAACAAACCTTTAATGGTTTTCACAGGAACAGACCCTGAATATTCTGTAGAAGATTATTTAAATGCAGTAACAGCAAACCTGATTTTAAACATTGGACCTGAACCAATTAATACGCCACTACATCAAAACTGGATACATCGACGCACAGCGTTGATACAAACAACCTTAGATGGCGCAGCCCAAAAATGGTTTTCAGTACTACCTCTAGAAATAAAATCAAACTGGAAAAGATTTACACAAGAATTTTCAAAAATGTTTGACTCCGAAAGAAACAAACAACAACAAAGAGTTTTATGTAATGAAATTCGCAGATTACCAAACGAAACCATCAAGCAAATAGCAGTACGAATCGAAACACTAGTTCGAAAAGCATATTCACTAAATACACATGACTATAAAAACACAAAGATGACAGAAATCTTAATGATGACCTTAACACCACAATTAAGAAAAATAGCAATAAAAAAGAGAGCATCCCATCCTTCTTCAATTCGAGAACCCGATTTAGATTTTCGAAAACTAGTAGACAAATTAGAACAAGCAGAAATCACGATGAAACTAGAAGAAACGGAAAATCTGAAATTACAATACATTAACAAAATTGAAACGACTCCCACTAATATTAATAATATACAGGAATCAGAGACAGACCTCGTTGAAAAAATCACTGAAATACTCAATATTTATGAAAAGAACCCAAACTTTAAAGGCAAACCATCTTTCAAAAAATGGTGTAATTATTGCCGACGATACGGACATAGTATTTCCGAATGTAGACAAAAACAGCAAGACAATCAAAATAAACCTCAAAAATACAAAGAACCAAATAAATCATTCTATCAATACATGAAAAAAGATCAAAATCTACCGAACAAAACAGTCCACAGCAACAACAGTTCAGGAAAGCCACTTCCGAACAATACAAGTTATACAAGAAATCAATC